AGAGATTCAGTGATTTGCCTAAGGTCACAGCAAGCAAGTGCCAAATTTGGGATTCACTAGGGGAAGGGGAGGATTCCATGGGAGCACATCCCGGAGGGCTTCCCAGAGAAGGTGCTGCTGCCCTTGAGTTGTACAGGAGTGGAGTTTGGTCCAGTGGAGAGAGGGAGGAGGGTGTTCCAAGCAAAAGACACCACTGAGCAGAGCTGGTGCCTTCCCCCAGAGGGCGGCCCCTGCTCACCATTCTCAGGGGCTCTGGCTGGGCGGGGCTCCAGCGGCTGGAGGAGGCCCAGGTGCCCTGCCCTGCCCTGCCTGGCCTACTGATCATGGAGGGGAGCCAGCAGGACCAAGAGGCAGGATCATGTAGTGAGTCTGTGTGACAGGCTAGGAAGCCAGGACTAGTGGAATAGGGCTCAGACAGACAGTTCAACAGCCAAGCAGTTTACAGCCATCTAGTAAGTCGCAAAACCCTAATTTTCCTAACCAGGGACACTTAAGAGTAAATGGTTTATTCCCGGCCGGTGTGGCTCAGTGGAGTGAGCATCCTCCCATGGACTGAGAAGTCCTGGTTTGATTCCTGGTCAGGGTACATGCCAAATACCCAGTGTGGGGCACACAGGAGGTGGCCAGTCAATGTTCCCTCTTATTGATGTTTCTGACTCTCTCTCCTTCCTTCCTCTCTCTCTCTAGAAGAAAAAAAAAAATCAATGAAAAAGAAAAAAAAATTTTTTTTAAAAAGAGTAAATGGTTTACACTTCTTCCCAAACAGAGGGTAAATAGCTTAAATCACCCAACTGGGTCAGGGAGACAGCAGAAATCCAATTAGTGCCATTTGCCAACCACATCCAAGGACAGATGAAGAGACTAAATCTCATTTTGGCTCATCAGCATAAAGCTGGTGTATTCTATTGACCCTCCCTTAAACTTCCGGCCTCAAGATGAAGGACCTAGCACTCTCCCTCCTGGGAGCACCCCCAGCCGTTCCCTTCTATTGGTCCCCATGAGATTTGCAACCAAGGGAGCAATAGGCAGCAGCAGCTGTCCCAGGCTCACCCCGACCTGTCTCCAAGGCCCCCTTTCCCTGACTCTCCCAGGAGCTGACAGCGGCCCCTCCTTGGCGCCTTTCTTTCCCATAAGGTTTCTAGGGAGCCAAAGCCACCGCCTGGCTCCCTCCTGCTGCTTCTGTTCTAGGCCCTTTCTGTTTCACCGTCTCCAGCTTTAATAAACATTCTCTCAAAATCACCTGGACTTGTGTTGTGAAATCTTTCCTGCATGAAGTCGAGATCCCACACACTACAGGCCGCGCAGGGCTCACCCACTCCTGGGGGCCCCTTCTGGTAACACGTGCATCAGGCCCTCAGAACGCCTGAGTCGGACTCTGCTCTGTCCTTTGCTGGCTCTGAGCTTGGGCAAGTCATTCCCCCTTTCTGCGCCTCAGCTGCCTCATTTATAAAATAGAAACAGTATTACCTAGTGAGCTTTTATGAGGATTAAACGTCTTAAGCGATGCAAAGTGCTGGCTGGAGTCAGCGCTATAGAAACGTCAGTTGTCTACCCAGCAACTCACCGCTTTCACTCAGCGGTGGGAAGCCAGTGGCGGTTATAGGGCCTGCTGCTCCCCAGCCACCTTGTCCCACTACCAAGTCCCCACTGCATTGAGGGCTGGGGCCCACGGGGTGGGGTGGGGGAGGGGGTTGGCGCTGGCAGCTCTGACCAGGGATTTGGAGACTCCTGGCAGTTGGGGGAGGGGTGGGAACCAAGAGAAGTAGTGACTAAGACAGGAACCCAAAATGCACTCACACAGATAACTCCCCCAGGAGGTGGGTTCTTTCACTCTGGCTCTGGTGAGTGACTCATGTGGGGGCAGGTATGAAAGGTGACATGCACAGGGAGATGCATGTCCCTCTCAAGAAGTTGGTGGCAGTGGGTTATGGAGGGTTGGAGGTGTCTCTCAGACTCTGGGTGTGCGGGAGGGACAGATGCTGTGACTGGGAGGCCTGGGTTTGGATTCCAGCACTGTTACTTCGTAGCTATGTGACCTTGGGCAAGGACCTTCCCCTCTCTGTGCCTCAGTTTCCTTACCTATAGCCTCAGGCTACTTCAATTCATCTCCCAGCACTAAACCCTTCCTGTCATGCTTAGTGGGGTTATTGGGTCTTGGTGACTCACTTCAAAGACCTGCAGTGGCTCCCTCTTGCCCACACAGCAAAGTGCAACCTTCTTTTCGTTTTTATAAAATTTTGGTTTATTGATTTGAGAGAGAGAGAGAAACCTTGATCCATTAATTACTCATCACTGCATCCATCAGTTGATTCTGGTCTGTGCCTTGACCAGGGATGGAACCTGCAACCTTGGCATATGGGAACAACACTCTCACTAACTGAGCTACCCGGCCAGGGCGCACCCCTCTTCTGTTAGTGCTGAATACTGGGGGGCGGGGGCAAAGATGAGATGTATTTGTGGATGATCTGCAGACACAAATCACAGCTGAGAAACCAAAGGTGCCCAAGTTGCCCAGGGCAGATCTGGGTTTCAAACCCTCATCTGTCCTTCTCCCTTACTTATGTAGCTTGATGGTCAATAAAACGGCAGAAATTTAAATGTACATTGTAATTACAAAGAAAAACAGAAGAGGGAAGGGGAGAAACCACAAATCCCACCGCAGGGTCTCACTTCCTCCCCGGAGCCTGCCCCCAGTCTGGCCCGCTGCAGAGCTGCTGAGAAAAGGCAGTGTGTGGTCCTCCCAGACGAGCTGACCTCGGCGACAGGCGAGCTAGTTATAAGTGCATCTGAACTGAGCTTCTGGGTCTTCACTGTTTCCTAACTAACATTTATGTTACATATCTTTTTGTATGTGTAAAGTGATTCCAAAAGTAAATTTAGCTAATCTTCAGACAGTTTAAATTAATAAAAATAAAGGTAATTCCAATGTTATTTAAACTGTTCTAGGTCACAGGGAAAAAAAATGGAAACTCTTCAGTTTATTTTATGAAGGCAGCATCACCTTAATATAAAAACCTAATAAACATAGTAAACCTAACAAACAAATATAACAAGAACAAGAAACAGAGCACAAGTTAATAATAGATCAATCACAGATCAATCTCTCTGTGACTTGGATGCAATAAAATGCTAACCAGCCCTGGGGGGTAGCTCAGTTGGTTAGAGCATTGTCCTGATAGGCCAAGGTTGTGGGTTTGATCCCCGGTCAGGGCACATGCAAGAATCAACCAATGAACGTATAAATAAGTGGAACAACAAATTGATGTTTCGCCCCAGTAACCTTTCTTTTCTTTTTCTCTCCAAAATTAATTTAAAAATAAAATAAAATGCTATATCAAAAGAATAACAGACTTTGACATAATTCTTTACCTCCCACTAAAGGACAGTACAATGTGATCATATCATCTGATGTGGAGAAGTCTGTTAAAAAAAAATTCAAAAGTTTTTTCTAAAAAACAACAAAATAAATAAAAAAGGAATAAACTACTTAAGTATGCCAAAACTTAACAGCAAACATTGTTCTAAATACTAAAACCATTTCCCTTAGAATCAAAACAAAACAGTGTTTTGGAGGGTCTATTGAAAAAAAAAAAAAAAAAAAAGCCCTATCTAAAAAAGAAAAGAAAAAAAAATTTAGCCCACTGGTATGGCTCAGTGGTTGAGTATTATCCCACGCACCAAGAGGTCACTGGTTCGATTCCTGGTCAGGGCACATGCCCAGGTTGTGGGCCAAATCCCCAGTGGGGGCATGCAGGAGGTGGACAATTGATGTTCTCTCTCATCAATGTCTATCTCCCTCTCTCTTCCTCCCTCCTTCCCACTTTATCTAAAAATCAATGAAAAAATATCCTTGGATGAGAATTAACAAAACAAGCAAACAAAAAATTGGAGGAAAAGTCATGGGAAGATACCCTAAGCAAAGTGGAAGAATGATCTGTACTTGCAAACGCTGCCGATGAACAACAGGCCACGCCTGTGCTGCGGGAACACGCCTTACAGATCCACAGCAAAAGACAAACAGCGAAGAGAAAATTGGCGAAGGGTGTTAAGAGACAATTCACAGAGGAGCAACTCCAAATGGCAACTACATCAACTAAAGATGCTCAACTTCACTAGTAAGCAGGGAACAGCAAAATAAAGTCCCAAAGAGCTTGCACTATACCCAGGAAGTAGGCAAAAATGAAAGCTGGTAGGGGGTTGGGGGAAGCATACTCTCATATGTTTCGGATGGAAGTGCAAACTGTTAACAGTCCTTTTAGAAAGCAATCTGGAATTATCCCATAACAATTTTTTGCAAGGTCTCAAAAATTTTACTTCTTGTGCACCCTTTATTGGTGCTCCACTAAAATAAGAGAAAACCAAGTAGAAGGAATATGATTTGATACTGGAATAGGAACACCAACATTAAAAATATGGGAAGGGCTCCCTGGCCCGGTGGCTCAGTTGACTGGAGCATAGTCCTGTATATCAAGAGGTGGTGGGTTTGATTCCTGGTCAGGGTGCATACAGGAGGCAACAGATTGATGTTTCTCTCTCATGTCGACGTTTCTCTCTCCTTTCCTCTCTCAGAAATAGATAAAAAGAAAAACAAACAAAAACTAAAGACTGGAAACAAAGTGTGTGTCCACCCAAAAGGAAATGGTTGAATAGACTGTGAAACAACTACACCACAAAATTCATGCAGCCACGAGACAGAAGAAATTAGATTTCTCTGTCTCGGTGGCCTTGGCAGACTTCACCCGGTGCCCTGAAGTCAAGACAGTGAGAGGTATTTTCAGCCAGGAGGCTTTGAGCAAGCTCGGGTGTGTCTCTTGGCTCTTGCTTTCAAAGGTAGGCTGCTGGCTCCCCGAGGTCAATGCAGCAGGCTCCTCTGACCCACTGGGCACTTCGCCTGCATTTGGACAGCCTGCACTTAAATAGCCTGCCAGTAGAGGCTATTTCTTGCGAGCCCTGTTCAGCTGATCCAAGGTCTGAAATCAAGTCGCAAAATGATGGTTTCATCTCCCGCTGTCCTGCGAGTGTACGGACTCTTCCGATGGGACCCGAGAAGGTGGACACGGCTGCTGGGGCCTCCAATGATGAGGCCTAGTGGCCTGGGCTCTTGCGCCCCGGCACGGAGGGCGGTGACAGTGACTCTGGAGCCCCCCGGCCCCAGCCGCTGGGACGAGCCCGTGGGCATTCTCGTGAGCGGCCTGGCCCCGGAGCAGCCAGTCACGCTGCGGACTTCCCTGCGCGACGAGAAAGGCATACTCTTCGGGGCCCACGCGCGCTACCACGCGGACGCGGGCGGCCAGCTGGACCTGGCGCGCGCGCCCTCCCTGGGCGGCAGCTTCGCGGGGCTCGAGCCCGCGGGGCTCCTCTGGGCCATGCAGCCCGAGAAGCCCTGCACGAAGCTGGTAAAGCGGGACGTGCAGACGCCGTTCACCGTGGAGCTGGAGGTGCTCCGCGGCCACGAGCCCGACGCCGGGCGGCTCCTGGGCCGGGCGGCGCTCGAGCGCCACTTCCTCGCTCCCGGGATGCGGCGGGAGCGGGTGCGCGCGGGCCGGGTGCGCGCCACGCTCTTCCTGCCGCCAGGTGAGCCCCCGCCGCAGTTTCTCCCGCTTCCACCGCTCGGCTTCCACTGCGGGGACGGAGGTCGCGCCCGCGTCCCGGCCCCTGGGGCCTTCCCGTGTCCAGGAGACCGATGCAATGCACCGCCGTCTAGGGAGGCGACTCTGCAGCTCCCGACCTGAGAGGCCAATGAAAAGATATCCTAAAGGAAAGGAAAAGACAGCTGTAATGAAACAAACAAACAACAAAATTTACAGGGAGTTTTAAGTGTTTAATTTCTTCAAAGGTTCCTCGATTTTACAATTTTGCTTGTAACTCCCACAGTATATTAAGGTTTAAGCAAATTAGCATGGAGGAAGGCCTCTGGCTATTAACCAGGAATCTTCTGAAATTATCGGATAATTTTTCCATTACATAAAAAGCAATTAGCCAATGAAAAAATAAAAAGATGTTTCTCCTGCCCTGGTTGGGTGACTCAGTGAGCTGGTGCGTGTCCAGTACACCAAAAGATTGCGAGTTCAATTCCCTTTCAGGGCACACACCTAGGCTGAGGGTTCAATCCCCTGTCTGGATGGGTAGGGGTAGCAACCAATCCATGTTTTTCTCACACTGGTGTTTCTCTCTGTCTTCCTGCCTCTCTCTCTCTCTAAAATCAATAAACATATTCTCAGGTGAGAATTAAATTTTTAAAAAAGAAAGAAAGAAAAAGAAAGAGGCAGCAGCCCTGGCCCGTTTGGCTCAGTGGTTGGAGCATCGGCCTGCGGTCCAGAGAGACCCGGGTTCGGTTCCCGCTAAGGGCATGTACCTCGGTTGCAGTTTGTCCCCAGCCCTGGTTGGTTGTGTGGGTGGCAGCCACTCGATGTGTCCCTTTCACGTCGATGTTTCTCTCTATGCACCCTTGACTGGAATTGAACCTGCGACTCTTTGGTCCTTGGGCCAATGCTCTAACTGCTAAGCCAAACCGGTCAGGGCTGTAAATTATTTTTAATCACAAAAGTAGTACATAATCTTTGTAAAGAATCTGTGGGGCTTTGAGGCTCTGGGCATAGAGGGGATTGTGGATTTAGTTTATGCCATTGTCTGGATCTTTGAAGACCTGAGGTCTTTCAGCATTTCTGATTGTCACTAGAAAACCTTGACATTACCAAGTAGGCAACAAATGGCTTTTGACATCACTGCAACGAGTTTCAGGAATAATTTAGTTTTGTGTTTTGTTTCTTCCAAAGGACCTGGACCCTTTTCTGGGATTGTGGACCTTTCTGGAATTGGAATTGGCCTTATGGAATATCGAGCTTGTCTGCTGGCTGGGAAGGGTTTTGCTGTGATGGCTCTAGCTTACTATAACTATGAAGACCTCCCCAAGAGTATAGAAAACCTTCACCTGGACTACTTTGAAGAGGCTGTGAACTACCTGCTTAATCACCCTCAGGTTAGAATGTCTCTAAGTTTTGTGGTCTGCCTATCAGGTCTCCTCTTCATAAATGCTCTCGGCTTTCAAGAACTGACAAATTCATGACAGCCACGCCCTGCCCCCAACACACTACCTTTTTTTTTTATCCTTACCCGAGGACATTTGTGCATTTATCTTCAGATAGAGCAGGAGGGAGAAAAGGGGGAAGAGAGAGAGAGAAACATCAATGTGAGAGACATGTCAACTGGTTGCCACCCACACAACCCCAACCGGGACCGGGGACAGACTGCAACGGAGGCACGTGCCCTTAGCGGGAACCGAACCCGGGTCTCTCTGAACCACAGGCCGACGCTCTAACTGCTGAGCAAAACCGGCCAGGGCAACACACTACCTTTTAGAGTCACTTCTCATAGACACTTTCTACGCAATCATATATTACTGACGTATTTCCTGCTAGTAAAGAAGTTTTTAGTTGACATTATGGAATTTTAAATTCTAGTGGTTTATAGTATTTCATGAGCCCCAATGCATCTGAGAACCCTGGGTTTGACACAGGAAGTTGAGGGAAGGGGGAAAGGAATCATTGCCTCAAGATAGCCCCAGTTTAATGTTTGTGTTTAACAAACCTCTGAGAGCACAGTATTACGTTTTAAAAGAAGAACTTGACGGTCCAAGAACCTGGGTACTAGAAAACGTTTTTAGGGTTCTAGGCTCAAGATATCAGAGTGTCAGACGGTTATTTTATAATGCAGGTAGGTAGAGCTCATGGTAGATGGAAGCATAGGAGCTCTTAGAAAGAGTGCTAGGGTATAGTGGACTCAGTAAGATGTAGATAGAGAAAAGTTAAATTTGCCCTGGCTGGTTTGGCTCAGTGGTTAAAGCGTTAGCCCACGGACCAGAGGGTTAAGGGTTTGATTATCCATCAAGGGCCAGGGATCATGTGGGAAGCAACCAATTGATGTGTCTCTCTCACATCAATGAAAATATCCTTGGGTGAGGATTAACAACAACAAAAAAGTTAAATTGCCCTGGCCGGTTTGGCTCAGCGGTTGGAGCATCGTCGGCCTGTAGACCAGAGAGTCCCGGGTTCAGTTCCTGCTAGGGGCACGTACCAAAAAAAAAAAAGTTAAATTTGAGTTTTGATTTCACAAAATACTAGTTCTGGGACTAGTTTCTGTTTCCTCCTTTGAAAAAATTGGCATAATAATATCATTTAATTCCTAGTGCTTTCATGAAGAATAAACATTTGCACAAGGGTGCTGTTGTAGAAGCCACGAGAAGAAGAAAGACCGCTTGAGAGGTCACTCAAACGGTCATTTGTAATTCAGGAATTTGGTAACCATGACAAGAGCAGTCCTTATAGAACAGTGCAAACCCAAATCAACAAGGAGGGGACTGAGGAGAGATTGGGAGAAAAGAAAGAACTGCAGACAACTTTCCCCACAAATTTTGCTGTGAAACAGAGTGGAAAACGAGGGCCGAGTGGATGTGTGGTCAAGGAACTGTCATTAAAATGTAGGGGATACTAGAGCATGAAGTACACTGATGGGGACAAGCCAGGAGAGAAGAAAGTTATGAAGGATGAGAAAGAGAGAAGTAGTTGTAGGAGCAGAATTATGAGAATGAGAGTGGATGGGATCCTAAGCCAAACAGAGGGGTGGTGCTTGATCAAAACAGAGAGACTTCTTGGGGAAGCAGGAACGAAGGCAGAGAGCCTTGGAGCCAGGCTCCGAGTCCACCTGGAACTAGGCAGGGGGAAATGAGGAAGAGTTCCTACTGGATAGCGTCTATTTTCTCCTTGAGGTTTGAAGAGCTGAAAGTGAGGGGAATAGAGAGGAGGTCAAGAGGCCAGAGAAGGTAGGAGGAAGTGGGAAATTGCCTTTGGAGAAGTGAAAAGCAAACACAGTGAAGTGTGGCAGGACTGATGGGCAGTATGGACGCATATTTGAAATCTGTGGTCATAAAATTAAATATCTGCCAGCAAAAGCGTGTATTTTTTTCTTCAGCAATGTTTATTTGCTCAAATGGAGGCCTAGAGGAAGCGAATGGGTGGATTTAACCAAGGTCATCACTTCTCCAGGCCAAGTCTGACCAAAGGAAGACAGCTAGTCGCCAAGAGTGCCTATGAGAGAGTGATAATAACCATGAAGCTTGACATCTAAGCTGGATGAGATGGGAAGTAAACATGAGAGAGAGACTGAGAGCAAAAAAGGTGATAGTCAAGGTCACAAAGAAGCAGAAACAGGTGAGACTAAAATGGCTAAACTGGAAGTACTTAAGATGGCATCAGAGAGTAGAATGCTTGCAGCTGAAACTTTGGAGATGCGATACTGGTGATGACTTGGTTTAGGTTATGACAATGAGCGAGTGGCTGAGGTGGGGTAGAGGAAAAGGTCATTGGCAGGAAGGAGGTCAAGGAACTGAGAGGCTGAAGTATTTAGTAGATCACCCACATGGTCATTGACGTCACCAACAATGGTATGGAGAAATTGTGGAAAGGAGGATAGACAGGAACAATGGGTAAATATCCCAGGTTGCAAACCTTGGTAAACAGTAGAACCCCAATTCTGGCTCAATTCCAACTGACTTCCAATTCCAAGCACTAAGCACCAGATTGGTTCATGGACTCATTCTTTTCCCTCTGTCCTTACCTCAGGTAAAGGGTCCAGGAGTCGGGCTGCTTGGAATTTCCAAAGGAGGTGAGCTGTGCCTCTCCCTGGCCTCGTTCCTGAAGGGCATCACTGCTGCAGTCATAATCAACGGCTCTGTGATCAATACTTTGGGAACTTTACACTATAAGGGTGGGACCCTGCCCCCTGTAGAGTTAGACCTGAATAGACTCAAGATCACGGCGGACGGCTTTGCAGACACTGTGGATATCCTGAATAGCCCTTTGGGAGAAACTGACCAGAAGAGCTTCATTCCCGTGGAAAGGGCTGAGAGCACCTTCCTGTTCCTTGTAGGTCAGGATGACCACAACTGGAAGAGTGAATTCTATGCTAATGAGGCCTCTAAACGTTTACAGGCCCATAATAAGGAGAAGCCTCAAATCATCTGTTACCCAGGAACAGGGCACTATATTGAGCCTCCTCACTTTCCCATGTGCCGGGCTTCCCTGCACGCTGTGTTCCACCGCCCTGTCGTCTGGGGAGGGGAGCCCAGGGCTCATGCCATGGCCCAGGTGGATGCTTGGAAGCAGCTCCAGATTTTTTTCCACAAACACTTGGGTGGAGAAAAGGGGATAGTCCCACCAACACTGTAATCTTTTATTTGATTGTGTGACATCTCTGATGCTAATTTATCCTGGGAACAGCTGTTGCAATTAGTGTGTAAGTGTAGTTTTTTTTCTTTTTAATAATCACTTAGAATTTTCCCCTCCTCACTGTTAAAATAAACTTATTAATGAGGTATTGTTTCTTTTCTTTATTTTTTATTTATTTATTTTCTTTTAGAGAGAGAGAGGAGGGGAGAGGGAGCGAGAGAGAGAGAAACATCGATGAGAGAGAAACATCAACATTGATCTACTGCCTCCTGCATGCCCCCCACGGGGGACCAAAGCCTCCACCCCAGGCATGTGCCCTGACCAGGAATCGAACCAGCGACTCCCTGGTTCAATGGGTCGATCTTAACCACTGAGCCACACTGGCCGGGCATTTTAAAAAAACATGTCTTTTTTAAGTTTTTAAGATTTGTATAAACTACATGACTTTTCAGTTTGGGAGGAAAGTGATTCTGCAGAAAATACAACAGATGGAAAAAACATAGCTTTTAGTCTTTCCCAATACACAAGGCTTTAGTTCTGAAAGGAAAAGTAAAGTAACACTGATTAACAGTGACTCATATGTAATTGGTGCTCAGTAATTATTTAATTATTTACTATTTTTGAATTTGTTTAATAATTGATATGATTAATAAATTATTATCTACTATAGAAGAAAAGCATATAATATAAAAAGTATTATCAGATTTGAGTTTTTCCTTTAAAAATGGAAGTGAACAGCCCTGGCTGATGTGGCTCGGTTGGTTGGGTGTCATCCTGCGCACCAAGAGTTCACTGGTTCGCTCCTATTGAGGGCACATGCCCACATTTCAGGCTCAGTCTCCAGTGGGGGGCATGCAGAAGGCAGCTGATCAATGTTTCTCTGGATGTTTCTTTTACTCTCTCCATCTCCCTTCCTCTCTCTGAATCAATAAAAAACATATTTAAGACACAGAAAAGAATGGAAGTGAACATCTTAGCTGTAAATTACTAGTTAGATTACTACTTAGATGTAAAACTACTAAAAATTTTCATAGCAGCCCTGGCCAGTTTGGCTCAGCGGTTAGAGCATCGGCCTGTGGTCCAGAGAGACACAGGTTCGGTTCCCGCTAAGGGCGCCTACCTCGGTTGCAGTTTGTCCCCGGCCCTGGTTGGTCATGTGGGTGGCAACTACTCGATGTGTCCCTTTCACGTCGATGTCTCTCTCTTCTCTCTCTCTCTTCCTCTCTCTCCCTCCCACTCTACCTGAACAAAAAATGAAAAAATGTCCTCGGGTGAGTATTTAAAAAAATTTTTTTTTGATAGCAAATATATTTTCAGTTCTTTGATATCTTCTCCTTGGATGAAGAAGTATTCTCCTAGTGCAAATAAATTTTAAGTTATGTTTCTGTTTATACACATGGGCTTTTACGATCTAATTGTTTTGAAAGCTGGCAAAACATTATTTAGATGAATTACTTAAGTGATCTGAACAATGATTATGTGAAAATAAAGAATAATTTAATATTTACATCACTTAATATAAATAATTCCACAATAGGCTTACTACACTTTTCTTAAAGCTCAATGTATTTAAAATAAAACATGCTTTAACTTATTATGATGATGTTATTTCCTTAATTATCTTTTTAAATAATACAGTTCTTGACTTTTCCCCTGAAACTCAAACACAGTATGGTGATTTTTGTTTTGTCAGCTTTTTCTCATACACGACTGTGTGCTCATCACTCCCCCTCACCTGCAAGGCAGGGGTCAGCTTCACTTTACCGAGGAGGAAACCAGGTCTCAGAGAAGTTCATGTAGTAAAGTAGAGCTGGGGCTCAGTACCCCCCAATCCTGTTTCTTCTCTCTTTGTTAAGCTGCTTTCCTTATCTCTGTGGTTCTTCATTTTATTTCGGCACAGAGCCATTTGTCCATCGATTTCTGCCTCCTCTCGTCCATCCATTAGAATGTGCATTTATGCCCGGCCAGCGTGGCTCAGTGGTTGAGCGCCGACCCGTGCACCAAGAGGTCGCCGGTTCGATTCCCCGTCAGGGCACATGCCCAGGTTGTGGGCCCGAACCCCAGTGGGGGACATGCAGGAGGCGGCCAATCCATGTTCTCTCTCATCCATGTTTCTGTCTCTCTCTCCTCCTCTCCTCTCTCTAAAATCAATAAAGAAAATAAATAAATAAATAGTGAAGAAAGTGAACCGGAGAACAGTGTAAATAATCGGATCCCAGTTTGTAAAACGAAAGCGATCCCCTTCCTGCGCTTGTATGTGTGGGGGTAAAATCAAACGATATAGAGGGGGTGCGAGGGGCAGCCTGTCACATATTTGGTTAGGGGGAGGGATGGCATGGAGGAGGGGACAAGGGTGGGACGTGAGCCCAAAGAAGACCAAAGACTGACCATCACAAAGAGTGCCTGTGTGGTGAGACCCCACAGATGGGTGGCTCTGGGTGTCTAACCTCGTAAAGGAATACCTGAAACGTAGTCACCAGGCAAAACAGTAGTGCGATTCAGGGTGATTTTACTTTCTTATAATTTTATGAATTATCTTAATTCTTTATAACGCATATGGATCATTGATATCATCAGAGAAGTCAAGTGAAAAAGAAAAGAGAACATGAAATCCTGGGAGGCAGGTTTCCTTGACGTTGGTCCTCCAGAGCCAGGGTCTGTCTGTCCTTGGGAAGGGTCCGGAGTGAGGACATTCCCGTGCTGTTTAATGCCTGCATGTTCACTGAGGGCCAGCCTTGGTGTCAGGGACCGTGGGAGCACCCCCGCCCCAACCCAGCCAGCTAGCGGGGCTGCAAGACTCAGCCGAGGGCTTTGAATAGATCTTGGTTCCAGGAATCTGGTTTAATTTGTCTGGCTGATGTCTCGGCAGCTGTTATCATCTGCAAATGATTATGAGTTTTTAGTTTCACATAGCTTTTGGGAACCGAAGAATCCAGGTTTATTCAGAATAAACAACACATGAGGAGGCTTCTGGTTTACAGTTTGATAATTACACTTTCCTGCTGAAGACATTAGCAGCTTCCTGGTGCTTGGCCATGAATCATTCTCTATGCCATCCATTCTGCCAAGCTTCAAAAGGAAAACATTTTTTAAAATTATTTTTTTATTTTATAAGAGCAAATTTATTTAGGGAGTTACAGACGTCGTAGAAGAGAGCCAACGGGGCTGCGTGGGCTCAGGAAACAAGTTACAGAAGCAAAAGAAAGGTCCTTGGAGCTTAGGAGGGGGCCCAGCAAAGGTAGCGCCTGGGGGAGAGAGAGGAGGGGAAGGAGAGGCGCGCTCCCCAGAGGGAGAGTGCCGGAAAACATCTTTTTATTTTATTTTATTTTATTTTTAAGTATGTTTTTGTTCATTTTTTTGGAGAGAGAGGGAGGGAGAGAGAGAGAAACATCGATGTAAGAGAGGAACATCAATCGGCTGGCTGCCTCCTTCACGCCCCTCCCTGGGGATTGAGCCTGCAACTCGGGCTTGTGCCCTGACCCGGAATCGAACCAGGACCTCTTAGTCCACGGGAGGATGCTCAATCTACTGAGCCACACCGGCTGGGCTTTTTTTTTTTTTTTTTTAACGGAAAACATCTTTTTAAAGCTATAAATTATTGAAAAAATTAGATTATGTCACACCCTGCTTAAAACCTTCAAGGGCTTCATTGTGCACTCAGGACAGAGTCCAAGACCTCAGACCCAGAGCAGGACAAGAGCAGGCCAGCCTCATCCCTTCACTCAAAGCACCAGTCTGCTATATGCCTACCCCTAGCTTGTCTTTTGGTTTTTTTTTGTTTTGTTTTGTTTTTTATCCTCACCCGAGGATATTTTTTCCATTTTTTTGCACAGGTAGAGTGGGAGGGAGAGAGAGGAAGGGAGAGAGAAAGAGAAACATCGATGTGAAGGGACACATCGAGTGGCTGCCACCCGCACGACCAACCAAGGCCGGGACAAACTGCAACCAAAGTACGTGCCCTTAGCGGGAACCGAACCCAGGTCTCTCCGGACCGCAGGCCGACGCTCTAACCGCTGAGCCAAACTGGCCAGGGCTGTCTTTTGGTTTTTAATATTTTTTTCTTTATTGATTTTTAGAGAGAGAGGAAGGGAGAGGGAGAGAGAGATGGAAACATCGATGAGAGAGAACATCGAGTGGCCGCCTCCTGCATGCCCCCCATTAGGGATCAGGCCCACAACCTGGGCGTGTGTCCTCCTCCTCCAGACCACAGGCAGACGCTCTAACCGCTGAGCCAAACTGGCCAGGGCTTTTTTATTTTTATTTATTATTTATTTATTTTTTATCCTCACCCGAGGATATTTTTCCATTTTTTGTACAGATAGAGTGGGAGGGAGAGAGAGGAAGGGAGAGAGAGACAGAAACATCAATGTGAAGGGACACATCGAGTGGCTGCCACCCGCACAACCAACCAGGGCCGGGGACAAACTGCAACCGACGTACATGCCCTTAGCAGGAACCGAACCCGGGTCTCTACGGACCGCAGGCCGACGCTCTAACCGCTGAGCCAAACCGGCCAGGGCTGGGCATGTGTCCTGACCAGGAATCGAACCGGTGACCACTTGGTGCATGGGCCAACGCCCAACCACTGAGCCACACCGGCGGGCAGATGTTTACTTTTTGAAGAGAACAGTTATCTTGTAGCATACCCCATATTCTGGATTTGCCGGATTCTTTCGTCATGTGTCGCTGACCGTGTTTATCCTCAAGTATCAGAAAGCCCCGGCTGTGGGCATGTCCACGAGCAGCCAGGGTAAGAGCTCGGGTGACAAACTTCTGGCCTCGGCCACCAGAGCGCTGAGACCAGGTTCTGAACTCGGAGGTGTGAGTTCCGGAATCTCAGGGAGCTCCACGCTGGGCTGGGGCCGGGCCACAGCAGACACGATGGCTGGCTTGTTAAAAAAGAAACTCCTTTCCCCCGTTGGAAGGGAACCCGCACTGCACCTCCAAGGTCACTGAAGGGACGTCACTTCAGATTGTTTGTCCTAAGGGTGGAAGGGGAA